TCAAATCACTCACTCGACTAATAAGCCTACGGCTTACATCATCTCGAGTTTGAGCAATCACTAACTTGACCATTAAGCCTACGGGCTACATTACCTCGAGTTCGAATCACTCACTCGACTATAAAGCCTACAGGCCACTCTTATTTCGAGTTCGAGCAAACTCTCACTCGACCATTAAGTCTACGGGCCACATTACTTCAGGTTCAAACAATCACTCAACTCGACTACTAAGCCTATGGGATACCTTATTTCGAGTTTGAGCAAGCACTCACTCGGTTATGAAGGCTACAAGATCCAAATTCGATCAAATTGCCTAAAACCTTATGAAAACCTTCATAAGGCATGCATAAAACAAAATCTTCTCAAGGCAGAGAATAAAACGGAGGCGAGTCAGGAAATCTTTATATATACAAGAATATTTACAATGTCCGAACAGGACCAAAATAAAAACTAAGGGCTAAGTTTCTTGGTTATCTACAGGGGCAGTCTCTTCTCCATCGGGCTCCTCCTCGCTCTCGGACCCCCTCTTGCTCCCATCATTGCCATCATCATCATCATCATCATCACCACCATCATCATCATTCGAAGCCAAGGCTTCAGCATCAGCTTCAAGCTCTTTTGCTCTTTTTATCTCTTCGGTGAGATCGAAGCCTCGAGCATGGATCTCTTCGAGGGTCTCCCTCCGAGATCGGCATTTAGCGAGTTCGACAACCCAATATGCTAGAGTATTGGCGGTCTCGGCTGCCTCTCTTGCTTGTACCTGAGCAACTTCAGCATCCGCCTGATAGACAGCCACTAATGCATCCGCATAGGACTTTGCCTTTTCGGCATCAGATTTGGCCTTCGCAAGTTCGGAGGCCAACCGAGCTTCGAGTTCCTCAATTCTTCTCGCTTGAACCGAGATCTTCTCCTTCATGCCTTGAAGTTGTCTTGCAGTCGATGACAATTGGGCCCAAACAGTCTTCTTTTCTGTAGCAAGACGGTCCATGCCATCTTTCCATCCCATGATCTCCGCCCTTATTATATCAACTTCCTCACGAAGCTGCCCGATCGTCTCAAGTTTTTCCTGCAGCTGTGAGATCGAAATATTAGCCTCCGATCATGAATCAAGCCCATGAGTTCTTAATATTATCATTACCTGCTCGTTCAGGTCGGTCTGGTCTTGATGAGCCTTAGCCAACTCAGCTCGAATGCCTTTGATTTCTTCTTCTCTTTGCCCGGAAAGGAGTCTGAGTGAGCTCCTCTCCTCCGTAACCCGTCGGAGGTCAGCCTCAAACCAATGCAGCTCAGCTCGAGACCGAGAACATGCTTCTCGATGAACCGCCACGACCTATGAAGAAAGAAGAAAAGAAGTTAGAAAAGAATAGCAAACATAAAAGTAATACCAACGAAGAGAATTAAAGCTTACCCATTCAAAGCTTGCTGCACTTCACAGAAAAGGCCTGATACATCACTAGGGCCAGCAGCGTCCTCGACCCCAGTAAACAAATCACAGAAGGGGTCCTCCCTTTCATGAGACCGGCTCATCTCGAGGGCCCCCAAAACTTGGGCTTCCCGAATTGCCCCTTCGGAAAAGGCAGGGAGAGTGGGCAAGTCTCCGATTACTATTTCCCCAAGCGGCTCTCTTGGGGCATTCTCCTCAGTTCGGAGAGCTTCAGAACCGTCCCCTTCCGATATACCCACCGTTTGTTGACCTCAGTGGGAAGCATCCTCGATCTCTAATGATTTGGGGACTCCGCCCGAACCTTCCTCCGATACCTCCTTAGTCTGAGGTAGAGCTTTATAAATCACCATCGATTCAGCTGCCTTTGGGGCACCAACGGTTTTCTTCATTCGGGCCACCAGCACGGACCCATCGTTTTCTTCTTCTTCTTCTTCGTCTTCATCCCTTAGACGCAGAACTGATTCTACGGTCAAAAGAATGGTATTCTTCCTCAACTTTCGAGCCATCCTCATCTTCAGTTTTGGATCTTCGGAGGCGAAGGCCCTTTTTCTCTTATTATCCTTCACCGGCTTTGGATCAGAGGCCGAAGCCTCTTCCTCGACGGATGAGGGCCTCAAAACCGCATCTTTTCCCACACCTACATACAGGAAAATTGATTTAAATATATGGAAAGCATCTCGTTCGAACTACCAAAGATACGAGAAAGAGGCTCACCGTGATTTTTGGCCTCCCATCGGACCTTTGACAAATCACGCCACAAACGCTCGACGTATGTGGAGGTCGAAGCTAGATCATGTACCCAGTTCTTGAGATCGGGGACTACACTAAGTATCCAAGGAACCGTTGTATCACAAAAAGGGGGATATCGGTGAGAAAAGGAATGAAGGGGAAAAACAGTAAAAGATAACATCAGAATTACACTTACGCTTCATGTTCCACTCCTCGGGAAAAGGCATCTTTTCAGTCGGAATCAGGTCCGAAGTCTTTACTCGAACGAACCTGCCCATCCAGCCTCGATCCCTGTCCTCATATATACTCGAGAACAGGACCTTGGTAGCCCGACGCTGAAGTTTTATTAATCCGCCTCGAAAGAGGCGAGGGCAGTACAATCGGATGAGATGGTCGAGGGTGAAAGGCATCCCCTCGATTTTGTTCACGAAGTAACAGATCAAAATAACTATTCGCCAAAAAGAAGGATGGATCTGACCTAGGGTTATTTGGTATTGACGGCAGAAATTAATAATAACAGGGTCGAGGGTAACGTAAAAGGGTAAGTATACACACTTAAAAACCATTTTCACATAAGTGGTGATATCTTCTTCAGAAGACGGGATTACTATTTCTTTGTTCTCCCAATTGCAATCTTTCTTTAGCTGTTCGAGGTGCCTCTCGGTTATCGAACACATATACCTCGATACTGGCTCACATCGGCCGGGAACCGACGAGCCTTTGTCGACCTTAAAATCAGACGTAAGAACACACGCCCCAGGAACGCATTCCTCAGGCAGTGGCTCCATCAGTGTTTTGTCGGCGGCAGGCTGTGAAGAAGAAGCTTTTTCTTTCTGAGAAATGGTTTTTGATGTTTTCGCCATTTTTGGATTAAAAGATCGAGAATAGAAGGAGGTAATAAAGATTTGGTATTTTTGAAGAAAGATTTTGCAGAGAAGAATTACAGATTTGCGAGTAAATTCAGAAAGTGTGAGAAAGAAATTAGAAAATTTAGAGTTTGAAGATGTAAAAGTGATTAAAAGCGAAAAAGGGATTATTTATAGGTATAGCAATGGCGGTTCAATTTCGATATTGGCTGACCACCGTCTGACACGCATTGAATGCCTTGAAAAACTAAATCGACGGGACAGCTATCACGTGCGTCATGATCGAGCCCAATGTAAACGTCAGCTTATATTTGATCGAGCCGTTGGGAAATCATGTGGTTTCTCGCTACATCCTTCCCGAGAAACGAGGGGACTATCTGTATACAGTAAAAACTGGTTAGTCTTTCGTACAAACTGGTCGAAATAGTAATGCATTGGATCGGAGAAGCGTCTTCATAATATCAGGTTGAGGTCCGAAGTCAGGTCACCAAGCTTCAGCCCTAGGGACCGATCAATGTCGAGCTCTATATTATTATCGAGCTCGAACCCAAGTCGAACTATGATGCAAAGTGAAGTTATCCAACTTATAAGGCAGAGACCAACCAACACTGACCCCGAATCAATACAAGGATCAGAGTCAGAATCGAGCTCGAGTCAAGATCAAAAGCTCGAGTCGATACCACGCTCGAGTCAATATCGAGCTCATAGACAAGAGTCGTTGCAATCCTACTAGAGGAGAGAATCCTAGCAGGAATTATGGAAAAACTGATTTATCATGGGTCTCCCATTATGTATTTTTAATTATATCTAAAGTAGAATCCTTTCATTATAAAGGGGATGATTATTATCTCTGTAAGGACCAAGTTTTTTGCTTACATTATAACTCAAATACCATACACTCCTATATTGAAGAGTTATTCTTTTTAACTTCATAGATTGATTCATCTTGCTTAGTCCTTAAATCATCTTCTTTCCAACCTTGTTTATTTTTCATTCTTTACAATCCGTATTTGATATTTTCTATTTATCCTTACGACTTGTGTTAAGTTATACCACATACCCTTAGAACTACGTACAAATTCAACTCTATCCGTTTTTTGGGTAAACAAAAATATACTGGTATTGCTTATAACATAAAAAATATCAACCAAATACAACACAAATACTATCAAAATTTATACTACAATATTATCTTCTTAATCATGTAACCACTACTTTTGAATGTGTAAAAGAATTTTTACGCTGAAAACATTAAATATTGAATAGATCAAATTTAAATTTTGAATAAATCAATAAACTGAATGACCCAATCAAAGTTAATTATCTATTCCTTATAGGACAAGGTAATCGGGCACTGGTGACTGACGAGGTTAAAACTCGTTTTTGCAGTCTAATGATCATCCATCTTCAAACGTTTAGGCTAATAACTGGGAAACATACATACATACATACGGATTCATAAGTTGTGTAATCTTCTAATGCAGAATTATCTCAAAGATTCCACATGCTAAATAAGATTCGTAGCAGCTCGATTTGCAGGCTCTGAATTACATGTCTTTCCAGTTCCAACGTAATACTTGGTACATTCTTAACCAAAGAAACAACAATAAAAAGGGCAGCCCGGTGCACTAAGCTCCCGCTATGCGCGGGGTCCGGGGAAGGGCCGGACTATAAGGGTCTATTGTACGCAGCCTTACCTTGCATTTCTGCAAGAGGCTATTTCCACGGCTCGAACCCGTGACCTCCCGGTCACATGGCAGCAACTTTACCAGTTACGCCAAGGGCTCCCCTTCAAAGAAACAACAATGAAGTAAAATAATGCAGCAACAACAAACCGGAAAAAATAGTACTAACAGCTTCACAACTTAGAAAGAAAGCACTCAACATGATCTGGAACTCAAAATGCAACAGATCCAGGAACATCTCGCGGAGACTTATTTTCAACTTCACAATGCTTGAATAAACAAAAGAGAAAAAAGTTGTATCATCAGATGATTGGACTGCAGAAAACATGAAATGCATTGAATCCATATCAAAGAGCTATATTCAATTTCTCCATGTATCCCAGGCTTCCAGCAATGTCAATGTCCTAAAAATATATCATCATTTGTGTTTGAAGTACCACATACTGCAAAACTATAAATGCTTATATTTTGAAGAACTAACTTATGCTGCTACCAAAAAAGACAAATTAAGTCTTGCAAACTTGAGGGATATTCTAGTAGCAGTTCTTTCCTCAGCAAGACTCTATGTATACTGTTTGCTTCTCCTCCTAGACACACAATTACATCAATTAGCTGCGGCAGTGATACTGCTTCTGCTTCCTTGGAATGAGCTAACACGAAATTGAGTCTCATTGTGTGCTCTCGTGAAAATTAAGTGATCTAGACAAGGCTGCTGGATTAGCTTGCAGGACAAAAGAAGCATCAGCTTCATGGTTTCTATGATCAGCTTTTGTATTAAAGGCTTTGAAGATCCTTACCACACGAACCTAATCAATCTTCTCATTCTTAATACCTAATGTTGACCATATAGAACTTTTTGCCGCTTCATTTGGATCATCAATCGTCAATGTCTTAGGAACCAGTACACATCTCTCTCCTTCTCTTTCCCCCAAAGTACTGGTGTTATGGAAGGATTGATCAGAAGAAAGCCACGGTATGTTCCAAGGGTTTGCTACAGTGCATCCCAATAGGCGGTGCTGGATAGAATGATACTGGAAAGCCAGAATAAGGCCACGGAGCGCCTTGAAAGTACGGTACTTGAGGATGAAATGCCTGAAAATTTTTCCAGGTTAAATCATGCGTACTAGAATTGTTTTCTTTCTCAGTTAAAACTGAGGATGTACTACAGGAAAATCAGTTAAAAAGAAAAAGATCAGAAGTGTAATTAAGTTTCCTTGCCTATAAGGGAATCTCTTCAAGTGATTCTGCATTTTCTAGTCTAGTACCATAGTCCATAGAAGTTAATATATGTTAGAATAAAAAGACATGCTATTCATATTCTTAATCATGGTCCAACCATATGTTTTTAAGTAAAGAAACGCGAGAAGAATAGTGAATGATCATGACCATGCTCATGTCAACAGGGGCTAAAATTTATATTTTAATGGGCAAAAAACAAAGTACTGTTCAAATCAATGTTTGAGCAAATTGCAATGCAGAGTAAAGAAAGATTTTTCTTCAATTTTTTTCATTAAAAAAAAAAAGCTCAACTGACCTTTTAAATCAGTTTCAGGAGGGAATACAATGAGCTAGAGTTTGATGCTTTCTGGAGCGTTACTGGAGAAAATGAGATAACTCAACTGGCACATTCTCAAGCTTAGCACAATTAAGAACAAGTTTCTTAAGTCTTGGGAAGTGATCTCTTGAAGCCTCCCAACACTCGAGGTCAGCCTTTTGAATCCACAAGACCTGGAGTTGTTTAAAACCTCCTTTCTCTGGTTTCCAGGACTTCCCCGTAAATGCATCTTCTTTCAACTTCAAGACCTCAAGGCATTCCAGCTGGCCCAGTCTATCCGCCTCGTTCCATTTAAACCTTGTATTTGACAAAGTTAATTTCTTCAGTTTGCGCAAAAATCTGAATAATTCTGGAGGAAGGTGAAGAGCTTCACTCATGTAAGGAACATCATTCATCAGTTTCAATTTTTCTAGGCGCCCTAACCCTTGAAAAGTGCTGAATCCGTCCTTGTTAGTCTCAAGAAAAGCTCCCAGTCGCCCTTGAATACTCAACTTTTTGAGATTTCCGGCCTTTGCCAGCACAACTTTATTGCAACTTTCTGGTGCAACTTTAGACAGAATTTGTAGGCAAGAGCCTTCAACCGTTGGGTTAGGAGGGGGCAGCAATTCTGCGGGGATGTTGGTCTTTAGATGCCTCAACCGTGACAAGTTCCATATATTTGCTTTTATTTTAAGAGTGGGCTCTGGTGTACTTGTATTAACTATGAGAAATTGTAAATTCCAGAACTTACCAAAGGATGCAGGAAGTTCCGCGAAATCACCTGAGATAGCAATATACCTCAAATGAAATAGTTGGTTAAGATACATGGGGAGGAAAATTTTAACAGATTGGATTTCCAAGACCCTGATCAGTGGAAATGCTTGGGAGATGATTTTAACATCATGAAGAGACAACTCGATTTGTCTTTCTGTTGTTGAAAAGCATAAGAAAGATCTAACATGTTCTGCATTTAATTGTTTTCTGGAGAGAAAATCACGCAGAACAGATGATTCAATACACAAGCGACGAGAAGTATCTGGATCTTGTATGGAAGGAAGAATCTGATCGGGTGTTAGACGTAGTTCTTGGAAAACACTTTCTATTATCGCCTCCGTCTTGTAGAACTCATACAACACGTCGTGAAATCCAATTTCTTTTATTGAATCGCCATCCCTCGACATTGTGACTAGACCCCTAAGAGCAAACTCCTCCAAGTAATTTTCTGCTAGCTCCTCGAAGGTACACGTCGGACTGGACTTTATTAGTCCCTCCGCGATCCACAAGCGAATCAATTTCTGCGCAGGGATGGAATAACCTTGAAGAAAGGCGAAGCAATACAAGAAGCACGCCTTCATTTCTTGGGGCAAAATGTTGTAACTGGTTTCCACAATTTCCCAGCAACTTGTAGGGTCATTCTCTATGACAAGGTACAGCCCCACATTTTTCTCGATTCTTTCCCAATAATTTTTGTTCGGACGAGATCTTAAGGCTCCGGCACTTAACTCTACTGCAAGTGGTAATCCGCTACATTTTGTTGCAATACTTTTTCCAAGTTCTACTAACTCGTCAGGACATCTTTCATTACCAAAAGCTCTCTTTTCCAGCAATTGAAAACTTTCTTCGTCGGATAGATATTTCAGACGATGAGGATGTTCACTGGCATAGCTAGCCACATACTCGTCGCGAGTGGTCATCATGATCCGATGACCTTTGTTGTTTTCTTGGAGAATTCTTTTGACCAAATCCACAACCACAAGTTCTTTAGCCCACACATCGTCCAGGACAATGAGATATCTACCACCTTCTTTAGCCATAAATTCACATATTACTTCAGCTAATTCGTTCACATCTTTATAGCGAAATTCTTCAATGCGTTCCGTGAACGATTTGAGAATCTTAGAAAGCATACCCTTTAGTTCGTATGACCTGCCGACATAAACCCAAATTTTCTTGGAAAAAATATTTGAAATCCGAGAATGACTACAAACTTTTCTTGCCAATGTAGTTTTGCCAATTCCAGCCATACCCACAATAGGGACAAATTCCAGATCCTTTGATCCTTCAACAAGTCGTTTGATCACATATTCCGCTTCGTAATCAAAGCCAACCACTTCTTTATACTCCAACAGAGTATCCTATTAAGATGAACAAATAGAGAGGATATCAAAAAGAGAATATTTTGATCTTTTGCACTTAGAACTTGAGCGCCCATTTCTAGCTATGAATAGCAATGGAACAACAACAACAATAACAATTAAGCCTCAGGCCAAAACAAGTTGAGGTCGGCATATGAATCCTTAGTGACCTTGGTTCGCCATTTAAACTCATATCAAACCAACATAATATCAAATCAAGAAAAGTAAAAGCACAAGAAGTTCTCTATTTCTTTTCCTGGCATATAAAAATCTAAAAGGGCTAAAGACTCATAGAAAGCATAAGAGCATACACCTACTCACATGACTAAAGCATATTCCTAACTAATTGTTATTGCCTATTTATATATATATAGATATTTTTGTTCCATCGTGCTTTTTTTTTTTTTACTATAAGTCTGCATGGATTCCCAGAGATTGTAGGTCTTTCGAGACAACTTACTTGTAAATTTAGGTCTACCCCATTCTTTTTTAACACATTAACACCATGGCAATTTTTCATAGTCGTTAAGGGGTGAAAATACACTAGCAATATTTGAGGAGCGAGAATATCTGCATTAATAATAGAAAATAACTTCATTTGTATCCCAATCTTGAGTCATAAAATATAAAGATTTTAGCTATATTTATACGGATAGTATCTAGATGTTTACGTTATAAGTGAATATTAACCTATAATAGTAGTTTAGTTATCATTTTACAAGATTTTCAATTAATATTTAATTATTTATCAAGAGATTTACCTTCACTGTATCTTTAATTGAAGTATAGCATTATAAAAAAAAAACAGAAATTCAATAAGTTTATCAAGATTTTGATCAGAAAACCCGAATAAGACTCGACTTTGTTTTTTGCTTGTTAAATTTGTTTTCTCATTTTTTATTGGTTGCATAAGAAAACCATCCATCGCGACGGGCTTGGAAGCCACTCCAATATCTTTCTGCTTGTTTGAGGCCCAAGCGAAAACATATATACATCACATAAAACTTAAACTCAAAAAACAAAGCTTTTCAAGAGACTTTCCTGAGATTTTAATATGGAACATTTTTCTTAAGAACAAAACACGACAAAGGTTGATTGCTACAGCTTTCTACTTACAGGAAAAAATTATAGATTTATGTGAAATGAGATAGAAGAGGCGTTGGTCATTAGCTTCCCAATGTTGAGTAACATTTGTAATTAAAATTTGTCGAATCCCGTATCGGTGGTATGAGGATTTCATGTTAGTGATCTTAAGCTAGCTTTTGGGATTGAGTTAGGCTCATGTCGGGAAATGACCCTGTAATTGTCTTATACGGGTGAAGTAATTTTACCTAATTTTCCGGCCTAAATCTGCCCCTGCTTATACTCCATAAATGTCATGATAAGAGAGAAATAAAGTACTTTTGGGTTTCAGGCGTTACCTGAGGCTCCCGTGTAACTCTTTGTGGTAGATCGAGCATTGGTTTAGGTTGAAAAGCCTTTTGATTATTTTGACGAAATTCCTTCACATTCTGATGAATTGCTTTAATATCCTTTGCAAGATCCCAAACTTTTCTGACATGGCATACATCAAAAGACCTTTTCACTTTATTCTTCTCTTGGTGCAGCTTCGCTTGAACCAGGAATTTGTCAATAACATCCTCAGCTCTATGCACTGTAATTCGAATGTCTCTGACCAATTGTTTCCACAGACTGCTATCGCTATGGTATTTTGCAGCATCATCTAGGAAAGCTTTTAGGCGCCGAACTTCTTCTAGCAGATTTTGAAAGTCTTTCTCAACACCTGCAATCAGCTTCACATTGTTAGTGACTAACTGCAACAGGTTCTCAAGCAGAAAATTCACCACTGCATCTGCCATATATATATATATATATATATATATATTTTTTTTTTTTTTTTT